CTGTGCTATATTACACGAGTAAATATTACAACACCTAAATCTTTTAAACCTCTCAAGCTCCGTATTTAACAAATAAATAGCAGATAATGGTGGCATTCTGGTATGTACACATCACAATAGCCCAGCCCTAAGGGATTTTACAGTTATTGTAACAAATGATCGTAGATCCTGTCTTTCTTGGTTCGGTGCCTCTTTTACCTGTTACGGTGAAGTCTAGACTGGCTTAGAAACCACGCTCACGGATATCTTACGCTCGTACATAGAAAGAATAAGTTATAGAAAAACATCAATGCAATTGGTAATAGTATTAATGTATTACAATGCATGTAAATATAAATAATTTTACCCTGTGTACTGCTACAGAGGTTTCTGGGAATAAAAATAGCGGTAAACAACAAAGGAAAAGCAACAATAACCATGTTCTGATGAATGTAAATGTTGTGCTATCTGAAGGTATAGGGACTGATTAAAATATTAACTCTCAACAGGCGTAAATATAAGACGTTGGTTGAAGCTGCGTTTAACAACAAATACGTCAGTTATGTTGTTTATTTGTTGTTAGTCACGACCATGTATGTCATCAATTTGTAATAAAAATTGTAGGTTTATACTATGCACGTGTTTTATTCAAATTACAATAGACCAGGCATAAACTCTCATTGAGATTTAAAGCTTTCGAACTTTATAAATATTGGTATGACCTAAAATTATTTCATACTCTTATCGAAAACAAATAAATTATATTTGCACTGCCAATATAACGATACGATAAACACATAAGCATAACAATAATAATATCTCTAATGTACGAATTTATATATGAGAAGCTTTCGTTGCTTGTCATAGGTCATAGTTGTAAAATTAAACAAAAAAAAAAAACAGCTACTATTATACATAATGTTTGACTCTTTAGAAACTTTAATTCTGAAAAGTCTAGCATACTGAGTGAAAATTATATAAAAATCTAAGAAATATACAAGATTTAAGGGGAAAATAAAATATAGAAGGTTTTTAGTTGATTGATACAGATTTCATTACATATTGTAATTAAATTAATAACATACAAACATATGCTAAAATATTGGAATTTCTATTAAGCAAGTTACCTGCATGGGGGTTTTCCTAGTTAGTGACAAAATCCTGGTATGCAGGCAGCTTACAAAACTGCATTTTAATAGAAATGGATTATTTCAGAGGTCTTTAAACTTTTTTCTTGCAAGTGACTGTTTGCTTCTAGTACTAGTTTCAATTACATATTGCTAATTATATTATTATGTTTACAGTTTACTTTTATGACCATATAAAAATGGGAACCCCAAGAAACAGTTTAGTAATTTTCAACGTTTAAAATATGCTATCAGCTGATAATTCTAAAGTTGTTAATTAATTTAAGAACAATTGTACTTTTTTTAAATCTAATCCAAAGTGTCCACAGAAGATTACTGATAACGCTGACGATTTATTAATTAATTTAATACGACCTCTTCATTATTCTTTAGAACAGTTTTTGTGGCATCCAAAGTGAGATCACCGATGCCCTACCTAATCTACTCCGATTCAATTTTTGTCAGCCGGCTTCGATGGGTTTGGCGCGTCCCAAATTTTTATTATAATTAACATCGCTCATTAAAATTTCTCTTTCCTAAAAGGAAAACGGGCTAGTTATGATTTGACAGCGAGGTTAACGGACCGAGTGTTTAAACATTTCTACTGCACCAAGTTTAATGTTTAAATAATATTTTCCCATAAATTAAACAATTTACAGGAGCTATTCAAACAATGATTCACTGAATTAACAACAATATCTCTAAACCTCGTTCTTACCGCAAGGTCGATCTGAAAGGCAGAAAGTTGCGTGAGAAATTTTCACGTGTGATTTTTAGTAATCCGATTGGTTTTTTATAGCATATTATTTAGTAGAAAATTGAATACTATCAAGAAAAACAGAACAAGTAATACTAGAAAAGAAAATGATAGCGTATGGGATCCTTAAGACCATATTATTGTAAACTGTATGACAACCTTTCCTTATAGGTATGTAAAGCAAAAAAAATACTCAAACTATTGAATCTCTTCAGAGACGTTATATTCAATTTTTTCAGTGTATTTTGTTTTATGGTCTTTGCCGCCAAAATGGGAGAATTATGCAGCCGTACAAGCCTTCAGCACCAGTCATAACACCATTATAAAATCAAGGAATGTCATCATTGTTCCCTCATGCTGACTAACAGTAAGGCACATAAAAAATTCCGCATACGTGCCTAAAATAATAAACATTTTTACTTTCGGCACCACGATCCTGAAACAGTGATACCCAGAATTCCCGGAATATTACACGGACAATTTGCATTTTGCTCTACGTGTTTCACTACGAGGAATGTTAATTAAAACATTGAACACGATTTACAACTGTTCGTTAAGGTTTATATTTGATGTTTTTTAATATTGAAAATGGAAAATTTGTTTGAATTCTGCAAAAATATTGGCTTCTACGTTGTTTTTGATACACAATATATCGCAGTTCCGGATAAATTATGTGTAGCAACTGATATTTTTTTAGTTCATTTAATAATACAGTGAATACAGTCTAAAATAAACTTTTCAAGCTATTACATGTTGTGACGAAGGAAAGTTCCAAGTAAGTTCTGCCAGACGTCCTTTCTCACAGAAATAAATAACTCAGAGACCACCCCAATTACATACGGTTACAATTGACGTAAATGTACATTAAAAACTTCTAAATATAACTAAGAGAAGGGTTGAAATACAAATTATACTCCTTACAGTCAAATGTTTGTCAGTGAAGAACGTCATCTAGTTTATAACCAAGTACAAAATTTCGTTGTGAAATTGAAAATAGTATTATTAATTGAAAAAAAAAATGGATTAATCTTGTAAACCTCAAAAATGCATGTGTATTACGAGAAATAAATCAATTTATTTTGCATTATTTTAATGAATGAAGACCAGAACTCCCATTATCGTGTTCTATTTTTATGTACTCAATGAGTCCGATGAAACACTAACACCCTTTTTGTGCACGAGTACTATTTATAAACATATGGGTAACATATGTATTTAGGGTAGATTTAATGACGGAAATAACTCGGTTCTGCCTATGTTTGGCTGTATATTTTCTCAAGTAATTGTCTACGTTATGGGAAAATGGTGCTCTGTCGGCGCTATTCAAGTCTAATAGCCCGGTCATGATCCTAGAGGCACTCATTTTATAAACTATGTATTTTCTAAGGCGAAGACAATAGGAACATGAAATAGAAATTTTGAGCAGTAATAGGTACACTAGATTGTACCCAAATAGCGATAACGATTTATTTTTAAATGTTTAAACAGATTATATTAATTTTTTATATGTATGGTAGTAATAGTTTAACATGAATACTAAACAGATCACTTTCTTTTGCAGACATGATTAAATTGGATGGTAAAAGATAAGTGGGAAGTAGAAAGTTGTTGGGCTCAAGTGTACTTCTCTTAAGAAATGTGTATATTAAAGAATTAATATCTCAAATGTTAAGATGGACTACGTAATAATTTAGCAAGAGTAACTGTATACATATTTAAATATGTTGCTCATGTAATACAAGTCCATATTTGCTTAGGCTCTAACACTTGTTTCCTTGGTTCAACTTCTGGTAAATGTTTGTAGTATTTGAGGATTCAAGTCATGCTTCGTCGGTAATGTTCACTATATTTTTCTTAGTTCACATTAGCCAAAGAACGTCCCTATTTCAAAATGTGACACGCTCTAATAAATCTATGTGTTCCACCACTGACCATAAATAAAATCATAAATATGTGAAGCTTGCTACATCACCGAAACAGCAGTTACCATAAACGGACTTTACTGCTAGCACTTTCTAGGTTATTTGTTATTGTAATAAATTCGTAAGTAGATTTCTCTATAAAAATATGTAGTAATATGTAAATAGATGTTCTGTGCTTGTATTAAATCAAGAATAACAAATATGGGAATGGAATATAAAATTAAAATAATACAATTAAAAATCAAAGCTGATATTGAAATTCTTGCTTTACATATTATTTGTCTTAAGTTGAACCTCTAATTGAAATTGATTTCGAGTTTCCTTTTGTAGAAATATCCCCAATTTAAATTCCTTTAAACGAAAGACACGGACTGCTGATTTTTTTACCGGAAACAGCGTAATTTGGTTAATTTGTTGACTCGGTAGAGGAAGTGAAAGAAGTTTAAGGTTTCTCGAACAAACAATGCATTTATATAGACGGCAAATAGGAATTTTGTGTAAAAATCTGAATTGAGAGCTCCGTTGTAGTTTGAAACAAAGTGACAAACCTAGTCGGTACGGAAGATCTGGAATATAACAAATAAACAAAATGTTTCACTTATCGACTGATATTACTGAATATTCATTATCAATTTATACATTTTAGAAATAATCTAAACAGGAATGATAGTATTACCACATCAAAAGTGCCTGTTTTTAACTCGCTTGCAAGACGATGGCTAAAGTGGTATTTTCTGTTATAAAACGCATGCAGAAAATTTAATTAAAAATTAACGAATTGTTTAAAAATAGCTATGACCATAGGTTTTTATTAGTGTCATCTGTTTACTTGAAATACCAATAAATTGGACATTATATCGAAATGATGCTTATGTCCGTTTATTTCTTGGAAATACTCATAGACATTGTTAGATAGGTACAGTTAACATTTGAAGGAAAACTCCACAAGAATTATTTAATACAGATAAACGAATTAAAGAAGGAAATCTTATCATCCTGTAGATATATTATTCGTAGAATACCAGTTCTTCCACAGATTTTCCATTTGAAAGTTTGTTTTCGCTCAAGTTTCTATTGTTAAGTGACTATTGAAGAAATTCATTTGGAATTACTACACCATTAAAGTTTTCTCAATGCATACCCTTTCTTAAGAGTAGTTTTTGTATGATATCTTCAATTTCATCTGTATTGAGTATATATTTTTGTAAACATTACCTTTTCCAAGTTCCAAAACCAACTCCTGATCCAGCCGGTAAAAAGTTACTCACACCATCGATAAAATCCAAAGTTACAACAAAGAGGCACAAACACTAACAAAAAAGTTCATAGAAGTGCCAACCCCTACAACCCGCACGCATATATGACTCACAGAAGGCACGCACTTGAAGAACTAGCCTAACTCAGGTACCTGCTCCACCTGATCGACACTGCGTTATCTAACGAAGCGTTGACTGGCGCGGATAACAGCCGAATAGGTCGACGCGCTACGTAGCCGGCTTCTGAGCTGGTGCACGGTGTCCCTGTGTGGAAACAACGAAAATCCTCCGGCGGTAAAGCTTGAGCGGCGCGCGCGCGCGTCTTTTTTGACCACCCGCACTATTCTTCACGGTGATTCACGTCAGCGACGTAACCAGAGGATGCGGTCTGCCGTGGAATACCTGGAATAGTTCCACAATCACTGTTATTCATGATTTGCCACATATTTCTCGAGAAAAGTTTGCGATATTTACGGAAAGTCTGACTTAATAGGATAATAATATTTATCTACAATCGTGGGGTAAATAAAGTTTTAAGTGTGGCAAACAAAAGAAGTCCATGACATCAAAATCTGGTTGTCTGAGAGGCCATGGTGTGGGTCCACCTCTTCCAATCCAACTGTCAGGGAACATTTAATTCAGGACACTAATAACCATTTTGTTTTATTCATCAATTTCTACTTTTGCAGCATTTTGACAGTTCCATTTTCTTGTTTCCTTATTCATACCACTTGTTTCACCATAACACAAATGCTTCACCATAATACAAATGTTTTCTTGCTTCACCATAAGTTAAAACGATATCCACCAACTTTTTGACACAAATTACTAAAAAACTATTGTAAACACTATGGAAACGACGACTGTAAAATCGGATTTCAGTACTCGGAGTCGCTGAGGCCACGTGGCTCTCCACGCGTATTACGAATGTCGCTAGAGACTACAGTTGTCCAGCTATGTAATGGTTGAAAGTACTACAAGTTCAATAATTTTTTTCTCGGGAACTATAAGGTTTTTACAAAAATTTTTTTACGATATTGACTCCATTTCTCATGCCGCATCTATTCCCAAATTTTTTCGGATAAGTTGTGAATCACACTGTATATGATTGACATTTCCGACTAGTAAATATAATAAATTTTGTTTTATTGTTAATGAGTAATGAAAATGAATTTAGTACTATATAATCATAGGAATTATCCCAAATTATGAAATGTGACGCACACTTACGTACCTTGACCTTGAGCGGATGTTTAAAGCGTGAGCAAATGTTTGGAAATCTATATATTAAAATTTAAATGTGACTTTAAGCACCTACACATAAATAATAAGCGACATAATTATTTTTATTGATTTGCACACCATATTTATAAAAAATTATGCGGGTTTTAATTATATTGCGTTCTGTTCAATATTGGTGTATTATATTCGGATGACGGAAAGTTTATGCAATTTAAAGAAATCTCCGTTCAACAACAAAAGAAGTCATACTTATTCTTACATGAACCTAGTTAATTGCTTTGACCCCCTGATATTCTCAAATGGACAGCAGAATCAGTGATAATGTAAGTAAATATTCTCATTAAACTGTAGCAAAGCGTCCTACTGCGGACATAAATTGGAGATAAAAATAGGAATCTCTTATTATTAGCAAAGGTAACTCATAATCAGTTTCATTTCACAGGTAATACTTATCAACTGAAATTTATAGCAAATGTAATCGTAAGTCAAATGTAAAACTGAATTGTTATCCATAGGCAAAGTATATAAGCTCTCATGTGGGTATGTTAATTCTTATTACTCTCAAGTGATTCATGAGACACAGCCCCACATTGTTCTAATTAAATAACATGTAAAAGTGGGCGCCTCCATTCATGCCGCGTACTTAAAGCTGTATGTATTAAAAATAATCATTAATTATGTCTCTATTCGTCTTATTCGTTCTTACAAGCCCTCAGCTGTTTATACAATCTCTTGTGTTTGGTAGAGCAGCTTTATAGATAAAATGTTTGACAGTAATATTTGCAAAGCACGAAATTCTCTAATAAAATCACTCATAAAAATATATAGATATCAATTATTTCTAGGTTTTTGCTACCAATTTTATTTTTTTAAACCGCGAAAAGTTTTAAGAAAAATTGCGGTCGCCACAGTTGACCTTGTACGACTCTTGTGTGTTTATTCACCTGGAAGTTTTCACGTTGGTGTGAATTTATGTGAAATAGAATACGTCAAACCTAAAATCACGCAAACGTCTCGTGTGACAATAAATCAGAAATATGCAAACAATGTAAAGTCAATGGGCACTTATTAGTAGTGAAGTTGCCAAAAGAAATACTTAACTAGAGCTGTGTATATAATTTGCATATCTGTGAATGATACGGAGGAAAAACTATTTTTTTTTAAATCCTGTCAAAGTCGAACAAATTATTTACTAATTTAAAGTTGCTTCCCACATCACTTTTAAAAAAATACCAATATATAAATAGACTAGATGTTTGGTATTAAAAGATCATTGATATCATTTGATAGGACTTTTTAGGAACATTTTTTGAATTCTTTTTTATATTAATAAAAAAAACAAACTGCCTCTCATTGGAAAACCAATCAGTTAATAAGTTATTGCTTGTTGCTTGTGCAGCTCTTCTTAAAAATATTTACGCATGTTTCGTCTGCTACCGTCACAATTCTTTGCTGGCTTTGGCGAAATTCATCTTACGAACGCAGAAGTTCGACAGCATCCGCCACACTGTCGTAACTTTCGAAACGAGTTTTGAATTCGCCCAAGCCCCAGGTTCACGAACACGACGCCAAACCTGCTCTTCTGCATCTCTTACGCGCTCTGAGAGTTACGGAATGTCGCATCGACGTACGCTTTGCGGGGTCAGTTATATAATATAATTTATTAAATTATTTGTCCGGTAACCATGCAACATTTGGGGGTTGAGTAAAAGACACGAGACCTTTTGTGGTCTTTGAATAAACGTCGTCAGAATTTCAATTTGTTGATGTAAAAGTTTGTTGCTTACGTCAAAATTAAACAATTGAGGAATAGGAAATGGGTATAGAGAAAAAGCTATGGATTTTTATTAACTTTTGTTCAAAGATTTACTCATATTTTATCGGTCCAAGACGAAGAAAATCAGTTCCACATTTTTATTAAATACGAAATTACGAATCTTGAAAAGTTATCGGTGGATTCGAGACTTTTTATACAGCTATTATATACGTCAACACGAAAGTCTGCAGGTCTCTGCTATATACTGTATGGACTGACGAGCACACCACACCTCGGTACATCCCCAAAGGTATCCCTAAAATTTCTTGTGCCCCCCTCATCAAAAGCCGCCCGCCTCTGACCAAATCTCGTACCGTCCGTCGTAACCAACAAGAAGTAACTGCATCCGCAACCAGGGATATCTCGTAAACGTTCTGCCAAACCTTACATTTTTGCGGAGCAAAATTCACTCACCGTCCGCAGTTGATATTCCATTGTCTGGGAAACGGTAAATGACAGCTATAAATATCATGTGCCGCTTCTACTGCCTTTCCGGCATACATTAGAAAGCAGAGGCAGATGTCGCAGAGATTTTTCTTGAATATGTTTAAAAGTGTGTACTCATTTCAGGTATTATGAATGAAAAATACGAATTAAATCGGCAACAGAGATAAAAAGAATGATTGGTAATATACAGGAACCCTCATAAACAGCGCCTATGGTAATATTACAAAAACTTTTCGCTTTTTCTCTTCAGGTTTATGAATAAAACCATAATTGGCTATGATATTTCCTAATTCCTTGCGTTCGTTGACAGAAAAATTTACACGAACTGTATCAGTAAAACTATTTATTTACACCGCTATAGGAAAGTGGGTGGACACACATCTAGATTTTCGATAAGGCCCATTTCGAATTAAGTAACGCTGAACTTACGTCACAGACTTTGGCGAGATTAATATAATTTAGGAAGGAAGATTGATCTGGGTAATTTAAATAAAAAGTTATCGATCCGTAACGCGAATAATAACATAATATCTTACCAGGGCTCTGGTACAATCTAATCAGATTATGTCACTTGCAAAAATACAGTTTCGCGTCACGTGGTTTGGAAATAAATATAAACGATCAGAAATATACACTGTGAATGTTTAAATATTGTAATTTTTGTCTGATTATTAACAAATCATGAAATCATGTAATTGTTTGTAAGGCAAACATCTCATATCACTTTTATTTATAACTCGTTATAAATATCCATACATCAAACAGCCAAATGAGCCAATAGTAGGTGTGTAAGGCATTTGTTTGGAAGATTAAGGGTCACGGTTAAATTGTAATCAAGCTCGGTTGTACTCAATTAAAGTAGTTGCTTTTATATGCCTCGCATAATACGACCTTCCAAAAAAATGATTCATTTACTAGTAATTCTCCAGTAACGACCAAACTCGCACAGATTTAATTGCTGAGATAAGAGCAAAACATACACGTAGGTGTAGTAAAAATTCATGTCAACAGTGGCATGGTTACTCATTGAAGTACATTTATCCTAAACAAAAACAGAAATGATATAATTTAACGTATAAACTACTGATTTGAGCACTTCTTTCGACACTGTTCAACTGGACTGAGAGTAAATAAGTTCAAAATGGAAAGTAAAAAAAATGAGACGCATTCCTCAAGAACACATCGTGGAGGATGCGAAAGAAGTGACAGAGAAAGTCTGGTTACCGAGAAAGTTGCTTAAAAGGTATCTAAAAGAATTATCGTTAATTTGGGTCTCTGGGAAGCAGGTACTAGAGAGTGATCGGGCTCACACTGACGATGACGACGAGTAATATAGTATACAAAACTTTGGTGAGACTAATGAAAGTATTGGTATTATTAATTATATTTACTATTGTACATGTCATATATCATTTTTACAGAAAAAAATATTGCATAAAATTGTAGATTGAAGTTTAAAAATTACGAAGTTTCTTTGATATTATAGTTGAAACATTTCGTTGCAACTCAAATTTGTAACTTGAACTTTGATGCGATAATCATCGGTAAAACAATTTAGAATTTTGTTTTAAATATTTTGTTGCATTGAATTATGAATAAAAAAATTAGCTATCATAAATTATCTCTGTAGCGTACAGTTATGTGTCTTTGTGGTTGCATTATAACGGACTTTTCTCCACGGTCACAGACTGAATAATAAACATCATTTGATACAAGCTTCCGTTCGCACATTACAGATAAAAATAGTGTTTATTGTTGCATTTCTCCTGTAAAAAGTGGGTGGTTCAGTTCAAAACAACGGGCATTGTTTAATCATTAGCAGCGCTTCCTTTTACTTGTCTGGGTAACGTTATAACGAGCGTTCAAATAAAAACGTGGTCGAAGTTGGCTCTGACACATTGGACGTAGGAAGTAGCTTATAGCGACCAACTTAACCTCATTTCTCAACGAGCTGTATAGCAGCTGTCAGTTTCAATAACGTTAATGACTATATAACTTTATTTTAAAGAATAATCGTGATAACAATAACAAACAATTAAAGGAGCTGCGGAAAGTGTCCCCCTCCTTGTTATAACAATAAATTAAAGCAGCTGCTGAAAGTGTCCCCCTCCTTGTTCCAAGCACTTTTCACACCTGTTCCTCAAAGAATTAAAGACATTTTCTAAGATGCTCGGGGTATTGTTAATTTCACGAATCTTGTCTATAAGTCGAGCCTGCAGATGGTTTAAATCAGGAATAGGCAGTTCAAAAATAGTGTTTTTAAGGTAAGGCCACAAAAAGAAATCACACGGCGTAATATCACATGACCTCGGTGGAAATTCATGTTCAGCATTGAGACTTATTAGTCGATTTTGGAAAACTTCCCTCAACATATTCATCGTCTCGCCTGCCGTATGTGCCCTTGCGCCATCTTGTTGAAAGTAAAAGTTTGTAATTTCGTTTTCTTCCAGCTGGTTAACAAAAGGAGCGATAATTTCTTCTCTATACCTTTGCGCAGTAAGAGTACCATTAAAAAAAATAGGTCCATAAATCCTCCTTCGATTGAGAGCACACCAAACTCCAATTTTTTGAGCGTGTAGAGGGCCCTCGACAAAAAAGTTATCTGGTTTTTCAGAAGACCACATTCTCATATTCTGTGAGTTTACGTAACCACTTAAATGAAACCAGGCTTCATCAGAAAAAAAGGTGATATTATGAAGTTCACCGTAGTTGTTTAAAAACCATTCACAAAATACAGCCCGTCGCGGAAAATCAACTTCATGAAGTTCTTGCTGACAAGTTAAACGATAGGAGAACAAACGCAAATCTTTTTTTAACACTGTGTGGCAGGTACCGACTGATACTCCCACCATTTGTGATAAAACACGTACAGAAGTTCTTGGCGCATTTTCCATTATTTGTTGGACATTTTCTTTTAATTCTTCAGTCCGCTTTTTAGGTCGGCCGCTTCCTTCTTTTCTTGTTACACTGCCCGTTTCACGAAAAACATTAACACAACGCTGAACTGCACTTTGAAAAATTTTGTACTCAACAACGCCGGGAAATTGATTTTGAAATTCTATGAAACATTCCTCAATAGAATACTTCCATATTCCATCAATCTTGCGTCCATTTCTAAAGTAGGACTCTATGATAAACACTTTTTGTTCTTGAGAAAACACCATTTTAAACGCTTTTTAAAACGAAAATATTCAAATTGATAGCGGCGATATAGCGCTTTGACAGATGACGTTTAAGTTCATTTGCTATACGCTACGTCCTACGTCCAAATTTTCAGAACCAACTTGACGTTTTTATTTGAACGCTCGTTATTTGCAAGAAAATGCGGTATGGAACAAATAGAAGTTATGAAACTTGGACAAAATAGTTATTAAAATAGTTTTCTAGGTATATTCTGCTGGAATAAATATCAATGAGCATGAAAATAGCATTTTTGCGCCGAATACGATTTTTTTAAATACATTTTTAAAAGCATATTTTTGAGGATACTAAATAAAACATAAGACAATATGGAAAATTTTTATTTTTAAATTCTTTCGTGTACAAATCCTCCAAAAAGTGCAAAGACAATCTATATTTAGAGCATGAAGACATCATCATGAACACATTAAGTCAATAAAGGTTAATAAACAAATGAAAGGAGTGGAGCTATTTTTTTTTACTCTTCGCCCTACATGCTTGTCAGTAATTAAAACAAATTATTAATCGTCTTCAAACGAAAGTTCGTTAAGCTTGCTTTCCATCAAAACTGATTTTAATACCACTTGTGCAACTTTTTCCTTGAAAAAAATGAAACAAATTTGGCTTCTGTGTCTATTTTAAGTAAAAATTGGTCATCAGCTTCTATTCCATCGGTAATACCAAAGGTGCCATCTTGTTATTTTCTTAATCTTATACGTGTAGTTGCCAATCATTCATTCCAACAAACCGAGACCCCTTCAATGATCCAATTTTCATCTCAGTGCCCTAACGCTTCCACTAAACTAAAATCCCATCAACACCCACCTCGGAACATCAAGCAATCTTTCCTTGGTTTATTAACCCTGTCAGTCAATCATCGCATTAAACTCTAATAATCCCTGAAATGCGCTCGTCATATAGGTCTACTCTGCCTTTTAAACAAGTCATCATCAATATCGTCTAAATCGACAGCATCTGTATACCCAGAATCATCGTATCGTGACCTATCCGGAGTCCTGGAGATCCTGCTGCCTCCCGTAGGGCTTCTAGCAGTCAGCCTCAGAACAGGATCGTCGTATCTTCGAGAAACCAGAGTGAAGTCGTGGTGAGCATCCACCAACTTCTGCAACCTGGAGATGAGTTCGTAGTCAGGCATCGGCAGGGCTACGCCCAAGATCTTCGCAACGGAATGCTTGAAGCTTTGCAGCTGTGCCTCGCGTCGTTGTACGTCGGAGAGGGTGTCTTTGACTCGAGCCAATTCATCCCTTAGAAGTTGCATGGAATGCTCGCTGATATTTCTTTCCTGATCGATAGTCTCACCAGTTTGCCTGACCTGATCTTTCAGGACAGTTACTTTCCTGTTGTACTTGGTCCTGAGGGATTCTGATTCAATCAGTCGTTTCTGCAGTTCCTCGATTTTCCTTCCCCTTTCCAAAGATGTGATCTGAAAAGACACAGTAAAACATTATACGGTCAAATCTACTAGTGTAACTGTACCTTATAATCTGCCGCCTCCGCCAACTGAGAATTCAAATCCCTGATCTGACTCTTGGCTTCTGACAGCTGCAACTGGAGCCTGTCGACTTGCTTCACCAATTTTTTGACGCGAAGATTAGCCTCGTCTTTTTCGTTCTGCAGGAGGCACTTCGTCTTAGTGTTATCCTCCTGTAGGGACAACTTCCTGCGGAGCAAGTCCAAATGGAGGTCCTTCCTCTGCAGCTGTTCACGGAGTGTTCGGACCCTCCTCTGAAGCTGATACACCAGAGCAGTCTAACGAAAACAGACCGACTTACTAAATTGTACAGTCGATATCGGGACTGAAACAGTAAGTAGGCTTTGCCAAAAATTGATTAGGATACGGGACTAAAAACGGATTTACTAATACTTGTAAAAATCATGCTGTGCGATATAAGTATGAAGGTAATATACAGGGTGTCTCAAAAAGACCGGAACTATACGATAACTTTTCAGGATTGAGTTTTATCAAAAACCTTTCAGTTAAAAGTTGCAGGATGTCAAGAATAAATAACTCATTTTTCTCTCGGAATTCTGAAAAGTTATCGGAAAATTCGTGTCTTTTGGGACTTAAAGTTTGCTAGGGAGTTTGTGAGTATATGCAACCAAGAGTACATTTCATAGTGAAATAGATAAATGAATGTGAAGTTCTACGACATATTATTTATAAAATAAATGAAATTTAGTAAATATATATTGCCGAACATGCAAAATTTTGTTTTTTAATTGTAACTTTTTTCTTAGAATTGCAAGAAAAATTCTATGAAACAAAATGAAAGTCAAATTTCGACATACTTAGCAAAACGAAGAAAACTTCTCAAAATTCGAAAAAAAAGTCAAAATTATTAAATAATGCCTCGGCAATTAAATTTCAGAATCAAACTGATCTGCGTACATGTGCATGAATTAAAAATTTGGTGCGAGATACGAAAATTAAATTGAAATCCAGTCTATATCGCATTATTCAATAACAAATTTGATAATCCTTTTGTATTAAACTGATAAGTATTAAATTTATCTAACAAAGTGCTGTGCAGTCATTATTTGGAAAGCTAAGCACCCATTATTCAGGAAAAATATCGTTCTTTTTACAATTTCGAGGGACATATGATACGACTGGATCCACTGAAGCAAATACATCTACAAGTTGAACTTTTCTGCTACTGCATAAATTCTTACATCGCGTAAGGGTATGTCATGAAAAGACCTCTCACGTCGTAAGTGGCAAAGTCTGGGCAAAGTTCCGTATCCACAGCAAAGCAGCTACTCATACAGAAAATTTGTACGTTATTAAAATACACGATTAAAACACTACAGACTAAACAGGTTGTAGATATGCTAAAAAATTGGTAAAAGGACATTGTTTTAATAAGTAAAACTGTTGTAGAGCTGGAAAAAAATTTGTGAGCCTGTATATTTTTTAATATCATATAATTAGATAATTACAATTTTAAATCTCACTATTAAACAATTGTCAATGTTTTTAAAGGTCAAAAGTACGTATAAATATGACTCCAAAGTCACACTCTGTATATTTCACTGTAATGAATTTAATAAATGAAAAGTGATTTTTCCAAATTGCTTTTGTAGTGCATAAATTATTTTTCAGAAATTTAATTGATCATAGAATTAATTTTTCGTCTTTGTAATTAGACCCATCAAATCTAGACCATCTTGTACCCAATCACAACCCGTCCCACGAAATTTAAATTACCTTATCCACCAATTTTTCGCTCTCCAATCTAGCAAGCTGTTCCGCTCGCAGGAGCAGAGATTCGGTATGTAAATCGACGCCTATATCGTGGGATATTTCATCCATATTCAGCGCCCTCGCCAGACATTCCAAGAAATTCATGAACTGGAAAAATATCAGGTACGTGAGCGTGTACAAATGTCAGACGTCGGATGTCGTCGGGAAACATACGTCCTTGAAATAACAGTAGCTTCTGTAAGCTTAGAGGTTTTTGTGGAATGTCATGCAAAGGAATGAAACAGCAAACCGTTGATGGTCCCACAAATGGTATACGAGGCAGAAAATAGAAAATATTTCTTACCGTGTTTTTATCCCTTTTCAGACCATCCCTCGACAACTCGCAGGCGTTAATTTCCGCGTCTGCCTTATGCAAACGAGCTTCAACATGATTCTTTTCATCCTCGAGGACTCTAATCCTTGACATCGCTTGCTCGTATAGGGAGATCTGCCTCGACAGCTGTTGACTTTCGTGGTTTAATTTGTCACGCAGTGATTCCAGTTGCTGAAACAATCGCGGTGTTAGAAAGAGATAAATGTCGCGACTTCATATTTTACAGCGGTCTTGTCCTTGTTGTCGTTTATGATTTCGTGGATTCTGTCCTTGATTGAGGATTCTAAGGACTCTACGAACCGCGACGGAGTGCTCAGGATTATTGCCAGCGATTCCAGGGTGTGCTTGTTTTCCGCCTGAAGGCGTTGGATTTTCTCGTCCTTTATTTTGACCTCATCTAAAAATGAAGACGCTTTAGTTGACTAAACATAATTTAACAAGTCTTTATTCTCTTGTTCAATTTAATTTCTACTAGTAAAATATATCAGTATATAAAATCTAAGCGAAATTTGGATGTACTTACCAATTACTGACATAATTTTGGTTCGTTGTATAGAGTAGACCTATTGGATCGAACTGCGTGTGCATAAAAATTGAATTAAATGTACTTCTGTCACTTTTTCCAGGTCATAGCGTGGGTTTGGCGTGACTAACAAAAACAAAATTAAAAAGCTTTTAAGTTGAGAGATAAGTTTACAAAAGATCTCTTTATGAGTTAATATAACAATAACTATATCGTGCAAAGTGTTGAAAACATTAATAAAATAAAAAAAAGTTTACCTTAACATCCATCAAGGACAATTTATTCTAAATCAAACAGAAAACGTTTACCTCTTAACTGGCAGATCATAGCTTCCTGTTGGGCAATATTCCCAGTAGCGCTGCCCAAACTACGACTAGACATAGCCAATTTTTCTTTTAATTCACTCAGTTCTCTTTCCGTGACTCTGTGCTGCATTTCTAAAGACTCTTTCTCCTGCCTCAAACGGTCTATTTCCAATATCTGAGTCGCGCTCTGCCTCTGTAAACATTCCTTGTCTGCCATGGATCTGTCCAAGTTCTCTTTGCACGTCCTTAGATCTATCTCGACTGTTCCCAAAGTGTCATGGATGCTGCTTGCTTTGTTTCTTAGTCTGGAAGTTTCCTACGTCGTCGATTAGTTAGTCATTTCTAGAAATCAACATTTACATGTATTTACCTGAACTAGCTCAGAAGCTTTGTGGACTAGCGACTCTGGAGAAATATGGGGATAGTCCAGCAAGTCTGAACCCAACGCCACAGACAACCTCCTCACGAAGTCTTGAAACTGCAACCTGGCGGCTTCTTTCTTCTGTTCCTCAGCGTGCAAATCCAACTCCAAGTTTCTGACCTTGGATTCTAACTCTTTAACTTTCTCTTCGTTGTACCTCACGTCCCTATGAGCGGTTTGAAGGGCTATTTCGTGGCGTCCTTGCGCTGCTATTAGGTTCCTTTCTCTTTCCTCCAACTCGTGAACGCGCTTCTTCAGAGAGCCTATGATGGCGTTTTGCCTAGCGGCCTGCTCTCTCAACTGATCGGCCTCCACTTGCAAATCCAGACATCGCTGGTCGCGGGAGCGAATCTGGGACCTCATCTCGTCCACGTCTGTTTGCAGGCGGTCTCTCTTGTACTGTAGAGCGGCTATCTCGCTCTTCAGCGCCGTTGTGGCATCCACGTCACATTCGTCCATCTAGAATAAATGCGTCAGTATTATAATGATATAAAATTCGTATAATTGTTTCTAAAACTTTGACAGAAACAAATTGTATCACATTTTCATACAATATTGGCTGAAAATTTGAGAAAATCCATAATTTATTGGTGATAATTTCACGAAGCAATTACAATGCAAACGTCGATTTTTCAGACAATTTGTTCCTGTTATGATTTTAGGTATAATTGTGTAATTTTCATCACAATATTTTTTTCCGTGTATAGTTTACATTTACAAGTTTTTCAAAATAAAAACATAAATAAATAAAGTAAATATTAAAGTAATAGTCAACGATTTGTAGTGGAATAAAATTGCTCTATTATTATTTTCTAGGGTAGCTGGTGCAAGAATGAGTGCATTTGGAAAACTTAAAAAGTGCTAGTCATAAATTTATCGCTAATAAAGATAATCAAATCAAAAATTAAGTACGTAAATGATTATTATCTATGTCATCATATCGCCTTTTAATACCCATTTTATTGTCTTTATATTCATTGAACAATTTGAAATTTGATATGTATCAATAATTAAATCACTTATTGTTATCAACGTTAATAAATTAATTAGTAACAGCTGTTTTTAACAAATGTAATCATTTTAAATTAAAGAAATGTTTTTGTATATAGATAAATATTTTTAGATAGAAAATGACAGTTTCTTAAAAACTGATATTTTGCCGAAATCGTTAATGAAAGTAGCTTTTACGTTATCAGGAACTAACACAAAGTTGTACCTATCTAGGTGAAGGGCATCCTTTTGAAGTATATTTATAGCACAATTGATGAGTTATCGATTCCTTTGGTTATGAATTGGAAGGGTGTAACCAGGAATGCAACTAGGTATATTAATATACATACTTATCACGAACGAATAACTAATGTGAATGTGGATGTACAACTAGATGCAGAAATGTAACCCTTTCTCAAATCAATAACAATGGGGAATTAGGTTAATGCTAGTAACTCACCCAATGCCTGCAAAATGGATGTACATGTCTGGTATAACTATAAACATTACAGTTTTTCATGTCACTACGTCGTTAGCAGAACTGCAGTAATCAGTTGGAAACAACTAGTTATAACGCAGTCCCAGAGAAAATCAATTACAGTGTGAATAATGTTGGGAAATACGTGTTTTAGATCAGGGCGGATCTGTCGAAATATCCCACTTCTTTTATGTAAGAGGGGGCAAGCTAATTTTTGCTGTAATACCTTCAGTACAACTCGCATAATAAAAGTGTAGATCCCCAGATCTGGGCGAGGTCCGGAACTTTTTCAATATTGCAAAAATGTTTAAAAAAATTAAAAAATACCTATTTTATCTGAGTTTTTTACTTATATCTTGGAACCTAGGCATTTTGGAAGAATATTGAAGAGGAAAAAGGTACATATTAGAATTGAATTTTGCACAATATACTGTAAGTTAAAAATGTTTAAATTTATTACCTACCCATGTTGCAAAATAGCAATAATTGATGAAAAAATGGCAAAATAAAGTTTTTTTGGATAATTTTTAAAAAATATTTTAATTGCTCCGAGGACATTCTAATTTCTTTTACTCAGTTCTTTTTCTCATCAGGAATTTTCGATAATTTCTAGTGGTTGCATTAAAATTTTTGACCATTTAACTTTTTGTACATTATACTATTCGCTTTGTGTTGCTAATGTATCACGGTTTCAAGAGATCGAATTTCTATCGGAAAAAGTGCTTTATTGGAAAGTGCTCACCCATTTGTGGCAAGAGAGATCGCTGCACAGTCACTAACTAGATAATTGCAGGAGAGCTCAAAGGTAGGGCCCTCCTGGAAGCCTTTCCGGAATCTGATGATGTTAACAAAATTTAAAATCAATACCGTGAACGTTTTTATCCTGGCACGATATTATTTCCGAAAGCTTCCATGCTCAAGAATAGACCCGAATGACACTGTAAATCCGGAAAGTTCATTTTATAAATAGTAGGCGGATTATTGGAGACACATTAGTATAATTGGAGTTTGAAAGTCACGACAGCTTTAAGCGTGTTTTGAATTTTATGGTAAATATAATAAATAGTGTATATTTATAGAAGAGAATGGTATTTTGGGGTTATAATAAAAATTTTTTATTTAGTTCAAATCAAATTCTATTCAAATTTAACGCTTCCCTAATTAATTATTTTACTTTCACTCTCTTTCGGTCATTTGGTATTAAAAAGATATAGGAAAACAAACTATTTTTTATATAATTTTTATGTATATTTTTTAGAGAAAAAATACTATACCGAAAATAATGTTACTGTTTTTTTTATAATTCGTCAAAATACGCCTATAATATATTCACCAAAAATTATTCAGTAGCACAGATTTCTCAATGCTTACTTATTTAATATATGAAAACATTGACAGTAAACTTAAACTGACAATTTGTTCATTGTTCAATTGTTTACGTCACAATACAAGTTACTAGATATTTAAAAAGAAAATATAGCTAATCGAATTGTATTCAAGGAGGGAGAAATACACAATTAAATAAAGAAGCAATTGAAGATACCATAAATAAATAATTACAAACACGATTTCTTTTTTGGAAATAAAAAAATACAGTGTGAACCATAAATGTTTCAAAGACTTTAACTAATATTCCGTAGTTATCTATAACAGGATATAAATGATATTGCTAAAAAACACATTTTCGAATGATTCTTGTCTTTATTTTATTTAAAATGATATGAAAATTTTATTTTGTTTAGAGCAGTTATAAGTTATTTCTTTTCCTTTATTGACCAGAATGTTATTTTCATCACAGTAGTGCATTGAATGAAGAACCTGTTTTACACTATCTCGGAATTTGATGAGTATTTTTGTCAAAACTACATTTTTAAATCATAACTTAAGTTCTATTGATCCTTTCTTAAAAGTTATAGCTGTTTTACATTGACAATTTATTGATCAATTAATTGATGAAGTCGCTTCATCAAGAAATTGTTCGAGTGTAATGCACCAAATCAGCTGTCAAATAACTTCATCAATTTATTCATCAAGTTCTTGACGAATTAGAGCATGTTCTAATTTTCGTCAATTTCTTCGTGAAGTTCGGAAGCACCAACCCAATATGTGTCAGAACGGTACCGCTGTTGTATCACTACAATTATGAGTGGAAAGGTGACATTTTTGAAATTTATTTGCTTCTTTGATTCATTGGTAGAACTGATTCATACGTCAAAAAACTTGACAAAGTCTGTAGCAGTGTAAAACCACACTGTTTACCAATAAATTCGTGAATTAATTCATGAAGAACTTCGTCAATTTATTCATCAATAAATTGTCAATGTAAAACAGCTATAAGAAA